GATTCAACTAGGGGTGGCATAGGCACAGATGAGCATGTCAAAATCAGACAGGATCGGAAAGACAACAAGACAGGCTTTCATCAATGTGAAATCAGTGTGGAGATCTACTGCACTCCACTCTGCACAAAGCGTGAACAACATCAGGATTTTCAACACCAATGTCAGTCAAGTCAGTGCTTCTATGTGATGGTTGAGAGACTTAGCGTGTCACGAAAAGCATTTCCAACAAATTACAGACATTCATGAACAGCTGCCACCTAATGCTCACTCGATACTGAAGATCAGATGAGAAGGTCAGAAAAAATAAGCAACAAAGAACTCTAGCAACGATTCAACCAGCGGAGAACGTATCACCCAACAAATATGCAGAAGCAGAAAATGGAGATAAATTGGATTGGGCATGCACTGAGAAGGCCGAGTGGGGACATCACACGCCAGGCCAGGTGCTCAAGTGGAATCCAAAGGGGAAACGATGAGTTGGGCGTCCGAGACGAATGTGGCATGGAGATGATGCGACGAAGAAATGAAAGGCTGTGGGTAGTCATGGCATGAGGTTGAAAAGACTGCACAGGACAGAGTGCAATGGAGGCGGGCTACTGAAGCCGTATGTTCCACTGGGAACCCAAGGGGAAAATCATAATATAATAATAGTTATCGTTTATGGTTACTGGTGTAGAAGTTGTTTCAAATCAGGCGGAGAGTATTCATTTCACACTCCTTTGCTTTGTATGGATCTTCTAAACTTACCATCTATTCACCGTTGACTGTTAATATCTAGAAGATTGGATCTACCATCGTGTGAAAGTCTCCTTGTGAAATCAGTTTTGTTATGTGCGGACGTAAGATGTCTGCATAATCAGTTGTGTCCGACAGTAACATTCTTCATCTGAGAAAAATCCTCATTGTAACTAAATATCCACCAAACATTTTATACAAAAATATGAAGCTGATATTCATCATAGATTGACATCAATTGGAGGGATATTGGAATCCTGGGAGCACTGGATAGGTGTTTCACCCTAGTATAGGAACTACTCAGCAGTGTGCACCCCACCCTCCAGTGATCTACTGCTCATTGATGACTGGCTTCAAGAGGGGATTCCCGAAGTTCCAGTGAGAAGTCGTGACTGGTTGGGGGGAAAATGATGACCATAAGGACAAATACTCAACAATAACACAGCGTGATGGTCACGTTATATTGTGAATCGACAAAAGTTGGAAATATAGACCATTGGATTCCGACTCAGTGATAACGTGCTGACGCCCTGGGTTCGATCCCTAGTGGGGTCATGTGTACGCACTGTTGAGGAGTCCCATAATAGGACAGTTAAGTTTTCATCCAATGAAATGAAAGGCAAACCTCAGACTTTCACTTGTGACCGACAACAAGGAGACGTCCTGTGTAGTCACGTATCACTGTTATTAACCCTTCTCTTTTAGATAATTTCAAGAACGCAGTTCTGTCATTACTCAAATTCCCTAATTCTTCGAGAGTATCTACTGAGTACATAGCAACATTGAACAGTTGTTGCGCACCAGACACATTAGAAGAAATAAAAGTCTCTCTTCACTGAAAAATGCATGGTTTTTGAAGTTCATAAACCAGCGTAAAAAGCTACTTGGTGTATATCATGCCACCACACAGTGCAGAAATCGATTTCACTCAGCAATTATGAAAGTAATGTATTATGTAGATTAACTCATTACTACAGGGAAAGTAGACCATAGGACATTGTTGTAGACCCAAGACTTCTAACGAGTATGTTACGCGTTCGAACCCACCCCCATCTACTGAGATCTGAGCGAATAGGTAGTTATTAGCGTTCATACAATAGGTGTGTGGAAGGAATTCCCCTGCTGCCAAACTGATCTCAGTTTATAATACAATCTGTTCAAAACACAGTTGAAAAATATCCATCTTACATCACCTGCAATTGTGAATATCAACTCATCTGTGTTTTTGGAAGCAAGCACACAGGATAGACTGAAAGAACGGTATCCACTAGTTTACGAGCGTATTCCAAAAAATCTATCTGAATGGTAGCAAGGTGTATACTAGTGGAATCACCAAGCATCTAATGGAAACAAGGCACCAAATAGATGTTTCTCAATCCTTGAGGATAATTCACAAAAAAACGCCATGTTTATTATGGTCTTCAAGTTGTTATTCATCGTAGACTGACATCAGTTGGAGAGGAACAAAGAAAACCTGGGAGCACTGGACAGCTGTTTCGTCAGACTAGTATGGGACTCCTCAGCAGTGTGCACCCACGACCCCGCCCTCCCCGGATAGAATCCAAGACCTTCAGGTTCCGTGGCCAGCACGTCACCACTGAGCAAGCTACTGGGTCAGAATCCAATGATCCATATTTCCAACTTCTGTTAGCTCATGATATAGCGCAACCGCCACACAACGTCATCGTTAAGTAACTGTCCTCACGACCATCAGGCTTTTCCCCCACCGGTCACGACTTATGGTTTTACGTAAACGCTTGGCATCAAACATTTTCAACCTGAAGTATGTACTCGGAAAGAGACTGTAACTAACCTTTCTCTACCTTGGTAACTGTATATACTTTTTTGCATATGTATGCATATAGTCCTACATCTTTCCATGACATCATGTCTTCACTAGTTACTTACTGACTGTTAATTACTCAACTAAATGTTTTTCCGTGCAATTTCGTAACCGACTGCCACCTTAACAACCAATTTTTTTACACTCCTTTATGTTTATCCCCCCCCCTCCGTCCACACTTCACACCTCCAGAATTCTCCATCTTACCAGATAAAATTGCCCTGGATTTTGGCTGATTTGTGACTGGTGAATCCGTTATCTCATTGTTAATCCTGGATTTCAAATCTACACATATTTAAAGCATGTTGTGTCATTATTATTACCGATGCCTCATTTAAATTGTAGGCTGTTTGCAGCTGATGAAAGGTCGTGAAGTAAAAACTGACTCATTTCTCAAATATCTTTGTTCTTGCATGTTTATTCACTAGAGAATAAACGGCGGCTTGTTTGAACCTTGAGTTACAAAATCTATTCACTGAAAATTTCTCATCAATTTTTGTTGTTGTTTTAATTGTTGAAATGTATCTTTTGAATGTATTGTATACCCTTGAACATTTTAAAACTGTTTCCAACTCTCTATTTCTTGAATCAATAACAAAGCAGAGAAAAAATGTTTTATTATATGGAAATGGACTTTTCGGCATAAAAAATCACATCATATTTCTATCCGTAAGATGCTTAGCTTGAGTTGCAGATATTTGTACCGTCTGAATGAACCACCACCACCACCATGGAAATTACGTTTGCATTTCTGTTGACTCCTCATTATGGATCGGACACCCACCCAGAACCATCTGTCTATTGTACATTATTGCCTTGAATACTGTTATTATCATTATCATCATTCAGATGGAATAACCGTTTCGTTTGAAAGTATTGTTGTTCTCGGAGTGAATTTATTGAAAAATGTACATACTGAGAATTCTACGCTGTCATACTTCACTTATTAACGTTGAATATTTAGAAGGAAATGGATACACCTCGAATTTTCTCACCTTATGTGAGACTTAATAATTGGCATTCGCCAACTTGCATCATTTATGGAGCAAACTGGCAAGATTTTCGACTGTCTATTAAACGACACGTATACTGCGCTGCAGTCCTGTTACATGGCTAATGGAAGTAGAAGATATGAAGCTCGCATTTGGTGGAATCACCACGTAAGTAATGTTGAGGTCTGGAGAATGATACCGGGCAAGGATGGTAAGTCAATCGATGACGTTGTGAACCTTCAGCTACTGAGGTCGCGTGGACATGTGTTGCCGACCCAATGCATACCTACACATAAAATGCTATGGGGTCTGTGAGACGATGGGAATCAGTGGTTAAGAACCCTTGGTGGAATGGCTGAAATTCGATTGCAATGATGTAGATGTATTCACCAAGGCTGAAATGTTTTGTTTCATGAGCTGAAGTCAGTTGGAGAAACATTGGAACCCTTGAAGCTGCTTTGTCCTAGTACGGGACTTCTCAGTAGCCCGCACTAATGACTCCGTATCCCACCACACCGTGGATCGAATCCACGTACTTTAGGTTCCACACTCAGCATATTACCACTGAGTTAGACACTGGGTCAGAATCCAATAGTCCACGCTTCCAACTTGTCAGTTCATGACGTAGCGCCGTCATCACCCAATGTCATCGTTGAGTGTTTGTCCTCAAGGTCACCAGGTTTGCTCCCCTGGTCACGACTTTTCATTGGATCTTCACGAACCCCCTCTTGAAGCCAGCGACCCATAAGCACAAAACCCCAAATGTTTTGCCTAATCTTCATTTTTAAATTCCTCCCTTCTCATACAGTTTTATCTATTCTGATACTACTCACTTTCTATATACCCGTTCTTTGTATACTACTGTGAAGTGTGCCAAGCTGAACAGATACACTTGTGAGCCAGGGTTCGACGTCAAATTTATCTGTCTAAGAAGTATTAAGAAATCCCAATGATCCACTGTTCGTTCTCTTTCAAATAAAGTACACCAGTAAGTTGATCAGGCATCATTAATCAGTGGGGGGGGAATGTATCATTTCCCTAACAGTTTGGTGATCTGCTCCAAAATAGTGTAATCGCATGGTTCAATCAATAATTAAAATTGGAATCATAAGCTCAACAACCACACACCCCACCCCCTCCACACACACACATACACACACACACACACACGATCTAGTTCATTAGCTATCAGATCAGATAGACACACACACACACATACATTGAGGATAATTCACAACTTGCCCCTGTCTAACTGAATCATATTTTTAACAAGCTTACAAAAACAAGCATGATTATTCATTGAGATATTTGACAAGCATATTTTGTTGCTCACAGCAACAACAACAATAAAAGGTCGAAGTGTAGACAACACACATGAGTATACATCTTGTTACCAAAGTAGCTGACGCCTTTTTCTGTGGTATACCCAGTTACAATAGGCCAAGTTTGTGTTCCATCATCAATTGAGGCATTCCAACTGATTCAGAATCTTCTGCGGCTGAAGACAACAGTAAAGGAACCCAGCATCATTAATCATTCACATATACAGAACATATATATAATAAATTTTGAGGTAAACGAGGATTTTATTTAAAAATCAGTCGGAGAATCATTGAAAAGCTGGAAGCACTGAAAGGCAGCTTCATTCTAGTTATACGACTCCACGACACCATCTCTCTAGGAATAGAAGTCAGGACTTTCATGTTTCATGGAGAACATCTAGACCATTCAGTCAATGGGATGAAATTCAATAGTTTATAGTTTCCAATTTTTGATACAGTGTAACTATCAGTCAAGGTTGACATCCGCTTAACTTTTGATTGGTTGATCCTACAAGTCACAGTTTCTCATGAGAACTTTGAGATATTCATTTCGAATGAAGCATTTCACTAATCAGCATTATACAGAGATGTAGTTTGACATTATTTTTAGGGTAGTATTCATCATGAACTGATATCAGTTGGGAAATCATTGACAGGTTGGATTAGCTGTTCAATGCTCCAAGGTTTACAATGGTTCCCCTAGTTAATAAGTAAGTTTAAAAGTCATATATATTAATATATAAATAAATAGACAAGTAAGTTTTTTTTCTTTTAAACAGAAGAGGAAAACTCTGGAAATATCCCATTAACAAGAGTTGAGATCAGTTGGAAAACTATCTGATAGAAGCTGAAGACAACAGACAAATGTTGACTCCCTACATGGTACACACTTCTTGATGGACTAGTTCCTGAGATAAACAAGGTTGGTGGTAGAGTGGTTTTTAGTCAAGTTAACTAGTGTATGAGAGTTAAATATGATTTCCTCTGACTGGTCTCAATCACTTATTGTCCCAGTCTTCAAAAAAGTCGAGGTTCTCTTGCGATAACCACACAGGAATCAGTCTTACGAACAGAGTCTAAGATTCCAGATTGTATAATCATTAGACGCCTGAGTGAAGCTCGAGAATAGCAAGTTCGAGAAAACCATGCAGGCTTCAGACCTGGTCATGGGTGAATCGACCAAATATTCACACTCCACCTGGGGGGTTCAGTGGCCGATGAAATCTATGCAGACATACATAGAGTTCGATTGGCTTCTGACAATTTACGCCATGCATGGCGACGCTGAGATATCCGATTGTCTATTGAGGGTCCAGTGTACTCCGCTACAGTCCGCTCTGTTCTACTGAATCGCTGTGAAACATGTCCATTGAAGGTAGACTATATGATAAGGCTTCAAGTGTTTGACCATCGTTCCCTTCGTAGCACAGACCATGTTTCGTGGTGTAACCATGAGAGTAACTCAAAAGTAAGCTGTACAGTTTTAGTCAGGAGAGATAAGTCGCTTGATGTGGTCGTGAACCTTCATGGACTAAGATGATTGGAACATGTGTTATGTATGCCCAGCCACTGTCTCCCTCGTCACATAATGCTGTCTGAAGTAGATTCAGGATGGAAAAAGGCTCGCGGTAGCCATACTAAAACATAGCATCAATCCATCAAGTTCTCAACAGCCGGTTGAACTGTGTGGGACAAGAGGAATCAGTGGTTGGAGGCTCTACGTGATGTGACTCATAACCGATGTCAGTGACAAAGATGCATACACTCACCGCTACACTTAATCTCATCATCTCATTCCTCCTTCCTCTCTTTCATCACTTTCGACTTCGACTTCCTCACACCGATTTCTCCTTCCTTCCTTCTCCATCTTTCATTTCATTGCCTTGTTACTTGCTGTATTAATATGAGATTTGGCAAGTCGGACTATTGTGTAGTTAGTAATGCCTGGGTTCTATGTTGATCTCGATGATGATAATGTGTCTACTACCGCAAAACTCTACTTGACCTCAGTTTGATACACTACTTTTACTCACATTAGTAAAATTTATCTACAAACTTGGAGAGAAACGAAACTTCATACTTGTGTTATTCGGTGAAAGTGTCTCAGATCACAACTTGGGGGTCAAGAGTGAACCTGAGTGAGAGTGAATTACTTAAATCGCTTTGTTCACCATAAACTAACCAATTAGCCTGATATTTAAATAACTATATCTTCTAGTAATATTTTTCATTTATAAAACCGCTTAACGTTTCACTATCACTGAAATCATATAATCCATGGTCCAGTCGCGCGAGCCATTTCTCCAACTTGAACCTACCTCAGCTAACATTGTGGGACGATGTAGATGGTGGTTAGGCATACGCAACACATGATGTCTCAGTCATCTCAGTCGATGAAGGTTCACAACTGTGTCAACCATTTAACCTGTCCTCCGTGAAACTGTACACCTAACTTCGAAGTTACTCATATAGTGACACAGTAAGACAGCCTATGCCATAAAGGAAACGGTAGTGAGACACCTGAAGCCTTCTCAATTCCCCCACCTTTAATGGACACGTTTAACAGCGATTCAGTAGAACAGAGGGGACTGGAGCAGAGTACACTCTATCCTTAGTAAACAATTGGATATTGTGGTAGCGTCATAGATGCCACGGACTACATTCGAATTCTTCACTGAATGGTCAAAATTTTATATACTGCATGCATATTGATAGGATACGTACATAGCACAACAAATAACAAAAGCCAATGGAGCTTTTTCTTTACCATTGAATTTCATTGTCATTGACAGTGTTTTTTTAAGGTCAAACAAAATTAAATTTTATAAAAAGTAGGCAACTTTATAAATATTAGTCGTAGACAGAGTACTCACTGAAATCCACATTTAGTCACATGTAAGTCTCTTTCATCTACCTAGACAGGCAGCATCGTTTCAACTACAGACGGCACAGGCACAGATGAGCATGTCAAAACCAGACAGGATCGGAAAGACAACAAGACAGCCTTCATCAATCTGAAATCAGTGTGGAGATCTACTGCACTTAGCATAAAGCGTGAACAATATCCGGATTCTCAACAGCAATGCAAGTCAAGTCAGTGCTGCTATGTGATGTTTCAAAAACTTGGCGCGTCACGAAAACACTTCCAACAAACTACAGATATTCATCAACAGTTGCCTACGCCGGTTCGATACTGAAGATCAGATGAGAAGGCTAGAAAGAATGAGCAACAAAGATCTCTGGCAACGAAGCAAGAACTTATCACCCAACAAATATGCATTGGAATAAAGTGGAGATGAATTGGATTGGGCATACACTGAGAAGGCCAATTGGGGGATATCACGCGTCAGGCCAGGCACTCGAGTGGAATCCAAAGGGGAAACGATGAGTTGGGTATCCGAGGGTGACATGGAGGAGATTATATGAGGAAGAAATGAAAGCTTGTGGGCGGTCGTGGCGTCAGGTTAAAAAGACTGCAGAGAAGAGAGTGGAATGGAGACGATCTACTGAAGCCCTATGTTCCACTAGGAACCCAAGGGATAAATAATAATATAAGTCATGTACATCAACTTTGTAGGTTAATGCTGTACTAACGATTAAATGTACAAGATGACGAATAAGATAACAAAAAAAACTACTCACGATTGATGAAATCAGCTATATCAATCTCATCTAAACTACCATTCAATTGAGCAGCCAATGGATGATATGAATACAGGCCAGGAAGGCGAGGTTGAATACGTCGCATAATACGTTGTTCCATAGAAAGACGTAAAGGTCCATGTAAACCTTGCGTAGAGGCTAGTACTTGCATCCTGTTAGCTTGTTCAGCTGATTTGCCAAATCGTCCCAATGATTCAGCTACTGGATGAGGAAATTTAATTGAATCTGCCACTTTAGATCCTGGAATTGCACCAAGTGATGATGCTTGTTCACTTGACCAGACAGTAGAACCAATGACATCGCCTAAACTGGTAGAATAATAAAGGAAATTGAATTTTTGATGTACAAATTTGAAATAACTGATCACTTCTCATATCGTCTACCTTTATAATGGGTGTGAAACAGGCCCATTAAAGGTAAAGGACACGAGGTTTCAGGTGTTCGGTCACTGTTCTCTTCGCAGCATAAGCTGCGTGTCTATGTGAATAACACAGAAGACAGGTGTATAGTTTTAGACAGGAGGGGAAAGTCAATTGATGCGATTGTAAACCTTCATCGATTGAGATGGCTGCACAATGTTGGTTGAAGTAGGTTTAGGGTGGCCAGACATCAATGCATGAAGTCCTTGACTGTTCGTTTGAGTCACGTAGAGTGGTGCAGACTAGACGGTTAGGGTCTGCATCACAATAGAAACCAGTGGTTGGAGAATCTAGGTTATACAACTCACAACCGATACTAATAACACAGTTGCATACATACACACTATCCTCATGCTAACTGTTACATTCAATCGCTTGTTTTTCTCATTCTTCGCTCTTCTATTTTACTACTTCCTATTTCTACTTTCTTTCACCGATTTTTCTTTCTTTCTTTCTTCATCTTCCATTGCATTGCCTTGTTAATCGATGTGCTGATATGAGGTGTGGCAACTTGAGCCGTTACGCAGTAATGCCTGATCCTACGTTGATACAGATGATCATTCGATACCATTTACAAATGATACACAAAAATCCTTCAGCGAAAAACTGTTCACACAGGTTTTGAGACGCAGATCATTAAGTTAAACGTTTTGCTTGAAATCACTGGGTACTGAGTTCAAAAGTAGTTCAACCTACTTGAAGTTGGACAACGGATCAGATGATTAAGTAAGTGAAAATTCATGCATGTCACAGCATCTGTTCTAAGAGGGTTAATGATACTAGCCTCCAACTGCCCGAATCTCGAAACCTTGACTAACTGCTTGAAAGTCGAGTATCTACACTAACTAGTCACAGCTCCACATGATATATGGAACTCTTATGAACCAGTAAACTTGTTCCGGGTAGTAGAGATCCAAAAAAAGTCCTTAAAACTATCTCAAGGGAAATAAAACATCATTAGAATGAAAGGTTGAACACCGTTTTATCGTTATGGTCAATTTGATTATACAGATTTGTGCTTAAGAGTTGAGAAACTATGAATAAGAACTATGTTGTACACATGAACCACAAGGATCATGAAGGCAACTTGGATCATCAGAGTTAGCTGGTAAGAATTATTCCTTTTAGACTAGTATTCATCACGGAATGAGATCAGTTGGAGAAACATTGAAAATCTAGTAACAATGATCAGGTAGCCGTTTCTTTCTAGTATGCGACTATTCATCAGTACACATCCATGACCCCCCACCAGGGATTGAACCCTGGACCTTCCGTAATAGAGAGAGAGAGAGACAAGTCAATTGATGAAGTGTTACTTTGAAATAAAGTCAAGTATGGCTAAATAGACTAAACTAGCGCATCAGTTCATACAATCCTCTGACATAGTTGGCTCAAATCATATTTGGGTTAGGGTTTACATGACACACTAGATGTATCATGTTATGTTTTAACTGAAATGTTTACGATTATTCAAGTGAATTTCCTTCTTGTTTTCTAGTCATCATGGTTGTGTATGTAAAACCTATCCATTTACCATTATTAACTATGAATACATCATCATATACAATAAACATGAGTTCACTTTAATTGTAATTATTATCACCATCATTACATTACAGTATTAATATATAAGTAAATACCAACCTACCCAGTGTACATTATTGGTCGAACAGCAAATTCCGGGTGTATCAATGTATTGTTAGTTGACATCTTGAAGGTGATTACTTTTCTTCAAAGATAAAGCTATATAGAAAAGTGAATCTATCAATTAATCAGCGTGGTTAAATTTGTTTAATTGTAACAATAACAATAATGACAATAATGATGGTAATGGTAACGATAATAATAATAATAGTAATAGTAGTAGTAACAGTGATAACAATGGTGACGATAATAATACTAACAGTAGTGGTAATGATAACGGTATTAATAACGGTGACAGTAACGATAGTAGATGTAGTAGTAGCGGTAGTAACGGTGATGATGGTAACAGTAATGAAAATAATGATAATAATAATCATCATCATCATTATCAACATAGGACCAGGCATTACTGCCTTACGGTCCGAGTTGCCACACCTCATATCAGCACATCAAGTAAAAAGGTAGTGAGGCGAAGGATGAAGATAAAAGAGTGCAGTCAAAAGAAATATAAAGTACGAGAAGAAAGGAAAGAGGAGTGACAAAATGGTGAGATTCGGTATGGTGTTGTTAAGATGAGGATAATGTGTGTATACATCTGCGCCACTGACATCCACTCTGAGCCATATCACCTACAGTCAGTCTCCAACCACTGGTTCCTCTTGTCCCACCGACCCCAACCACCTAGTCTGCATCGCCACACATGGCTTAAACCAACAGTCAGAGACTTCATACATTGGTGCCATGTTTTAGTCTGGCCACCTCGAGCCTCTTTCCAGCCTGGACCCACCCTAGCCAACATTGTGTGACGAGGCAATCGGTGACTAGGCATACGTAATACGTGTCACAGTCAGCCATCTCAGTCGATGAAGGATCATGCCGTCGTCAACTGACTTACCTCTTCTCCCCAAAACTCTACACCTAACTTCTGCATTACTCACATGGTGACACCACGGAATACGTCCTATACTACGAAGGCAACGGTGATCAAACACCTGAAGCCTTTTTGTATCCTCCACTTTCAGTGGCCATGTTTCACAGCCATACAGTAGAACGGAGGGGACTGCTGTGCAGTACACGCGACCCTTAATAGACAAACGAATATCACGGCGGCGCCATAGGTGGCGCAAATTGGCAAAAGCCAATCAATGATAATAATGATACTAATAATAGTAGTAACGACAATAATGGTAATAATAATAACAGTAGTGATAATGGTGATGATAATAATAATAACTTTGGCAAACAGTCAGTCGCACTAACAACTCGATTTGTAATACTTAAATAATAGCAAAAGATGCGTAATTTTTAATTATTTTGTTGATTAGTGTTAGTTCACTTCTAATACTTTCTTTCTCGTACAGGAGACCAGTTAAGTGTGGTATTGTAGAGACTTTATAAATAGTAGTACGTGCATAAAGTCTTATATAATTGGTCTTGGTCTTGCCTTTCTGAAGACCCACACAAAGACAGCTTCGAGTGAAAAGGATGCTGGTCATCTGATAAAACAACTCCTACAACATGTTTGCATCAGTGAAGATATGTATCCACAACAGTTTCAATTAGAATGATTCAATGTATACCAACTAGTTCTACTGACAATCTTCAAACTTCTACGCTATATATAGAGTAGTCTTTTTTCAGCAAATCCATGAAAGAGTAAAGGGGAACAACAAAGGAGAATAAGCAACATGCAGGAGTTTATAAAACACAACAGAAGAGGCTGAGATACTGTTACAATGAAAACATTATTGGATTCCAACTGCAATCAGTGTTTGCGTATCAAGGTGGACAGCATTATGATAAACAAATGACCTAAACGGAAATCATTTTAAGTCATCAGTCGCTAAGATAGAAGTTTTGAGGTTCAATTTTGTTTCATACCATTGTGTGGTCAGGAATAATCTTATTGGACAACTTTGTCCTACAAGTGACCAATCAGAACAATTCATCTAACTTATGACCTAGTGATTTTATATGCTCACGAAAACTGTATATAAATAATGTATTTTTGTCGAATAAAAGTTTCTTCCTTACAGTTACAGGTCCGTCTTTATCTTCGGATATTTTCGTGGATTAGTGAAGTATTACGTACTGAGGGAGAATAGTTGCCATTCGTAACCAGTCTAAGTGTTTCATTGAATTAGTATCATTCGCCTATTTCTTACAATTAACTCGGTTCTGAACATACTTTATGCAAAGAAGGTTATCATAATGCATAATAAACCAGCACACATTTTGTTTGGATGCAGGAGATTTGCATAAAACATCTTGGACACAATATTGGTAAGACTAATTCCCTCCATGATTGTCACAGGAAGACCTCTCTCTTCATATACACTGGGATGATCGTTGAAGCAGATCAGTCTGACAGCACTACCTGTGACTTCCATACATTACCTAATGCCTCCTACTTCCAGACTTGAAAACTCAGGCTGGCAAACTGTTAGCTGGATGTTTGGCAACTCAAGCGTTGCTGAGCAACAGTTGAACTGTGCTTCAAAGTGTCCTGTCCAACTTCTAGCCACCTGTCCTGGGAGGTTATTAGCATCACATTCTTCCCGGCGACGGTCTCCTTAACCATCGTCTTCTTCTTGCTGGTATCCTTAATAGGTCTAAATAGTTGCCAAGTATTACCCGATACTCATGCCTTCTTCATCTTTTTCGCTTTCGTCACCCACCAATGCTCACGGTCGACATGAAGACTCTTGGTCGACTTACATGTAAGTTGCTTTCACTCTTCATCATGGTCAGACCCAGTCAGAATCAGTCTTCTCGCATCAATCTGTTACACTGAAGCTGTGGAAACCCAGTGATGTTTGCTAACCTTTGAGTGTAGTTTACCAATCGTCTTGACTGCTGTTTCTACAATGGACCTAATATCGCGCTAGGTTTCCTCAGGATAAGCATTGCAGTCATGTTCAGATAAATATTTAGCTATCTCTTTCCAAAATAAGTGTTTGACGTTCTCATCTTCCAATCGAGCACAGACGGGCTCTACTGTCGCCTGTCTACGACTAGTAAGACGCAGACGCACACGAGCCGGTACTACAGCGTGGTGGGAGTCCAAACTAGTACTAGCACTAACTTCATACTGAAGTTAGTGCTGATGGTGTCGTCTAGAAAGACGATGAATGCTTCACGATTAAACAACCCAGCTCATAGAGGGCAATACATTCAAGAATATCCACTTGACCTACAAATATTCTCCACTATTTCAAACTAGTACTCCAGACAGAGCGGCAATCCTCCAACGATGAGTTATAGCAATATGACCTATCTGTGTCCATCGTTGGTTTGATGTCAGTGAACGCAATGTGGGACAATGGCTCTCCCTAGCCCCAAAGTTAGTGCTGGCCAGAAACAAGTGATTGTCGGAACAAAACTGCAATAGACGATCACCGTTGTCGGTTCGATGGCATAGGATTTAGTGAATACCTCCCATATGCCTTCCCGATCGGCTCAGCTTCCCTGTTTGAGTGTTAAAGTCACCTGCCATTATGACTGCATCTGGACGTTTTGCTTTCTGTTGCAAAGTTGACAATTTCTCATAGAATTCATCCTTTGCATCATTCGAACTGCAGTCGGTGGGTGGGTGAACGAAGATTACGAATAACCATCGGTTGTTCTCACGGTCCTTCCTAATATTAACAGATCCACTGTCAAACAGCACGTAGATGGCTGTTTACTGGTATTCAGTCGAGAAGCGTACTTTCTGCTCTACAACTCAATGCTATGCCCACACCAGCGAGTGGACGATAGTTAGTCACTGAGTCTTTGCATACTCGTAAAGGGAATTTTGAAGATTCACCACAATGGATTATTGTATGCGACTCTCGGAAATACAGCACATCCATTACTCGAGATTCCAGAGTTATGGCAGGCAATGTATGTTATTCGATCCGGCATAGGATTCGGACTTTGAAAGCACCAATATGAAGTCGATAGAGGGACTTAAGGAGACTAATAATGAGGTCCCGATGGCTTTGATCTTTGGCAGTGGTCGCACAGTGAGAGAGATTGCGGCAGTCGTAAGAGGCTTAATATTGGTATCAGGAAGTGACAGCACAGGCTTTGTATCTTGAGTACTTAAGGAAGCGTACAGAAAGTTGAGACTTGCGGGCTGCCTATATCGTGAAAGTTATTTTTACAGGGTACTTGAAAGATTTACGGCCACAGAGACCATGGGACATCTACTTGAGGCCTGTTAGACTTTTCAAGACTGTTGCTATGCAATCTGAATGTTCTAACGCCGGAAAAAAACATCCCATACCACTGACACTGGAAGACTGCAGGGCAGGAAAGAGTATGCTATTTGGGGGGGCTGATAATCTTTTTAATCCCGTCCCCTCCAAATATGGAAGGCGACATCAGCGTGGTACTGCTGGCCATCAGCGGGGAACACCTTACTGTTGTCACAATCCAGCCAGCCAGCAGTACTTCACCTCCAGACCATCACCATAGTGTAGCAATTTACACCATAACTGAGTGCTTTCCACCCAACCATTATCCAAAACACCACTCTGGTATGGTAAGACATTGAAGAAACAAGCGTTTCAGCCAGTTGAGCTCGATGGATCAGATTGACATAGAAGCCCGACAATCACGTCAAAGTAGCAGCTATCGGTTGGGAGACGGTAATGACACTAACTGACTGCCCCAACCTCAGAAGATGGGGCTGGGTTGAAACTCGTGGTCTATTTGCTCAAAATCAAATACCTAAACCAATGAACCACAGCTCCACTCATGGGAAAACAACGGGGAAGGATAGCTATATAGGTGTGATATGTCTGCTGAAGGTCACAGTTGGTGAACACAAGAAAATAAGCGATGAAAGGATACAGTGTGCTATTTTACCTACGCATACTCATCCTCACCTAAAAACAAGATATTACACATTTTAACCTAGTGTCATCAAGCAACTTCCGGCTGGATGGTAGCAATAATCAACCCACTTCTACCGTTAAGGTCATGCTGATATGAAAAAATACCGGTCGACATTTGGTAGTCCCGCAAACTATGAAAAATCACTTGCTACACAGATTTAGAACAAAAGCAACCAGCACATGCATTCCTGAACTTCAACGCAGCATAAGCCGACCTGGATGTGATCCAACCTTAATTAACAGAATGACTCAAAACAGTGATAACATATGAAGGAATTTAAGGAATGGTTAGTCAGTGACGGATGAAATATTCGATAGTCTGGCGGAATCTAATCTGTCCAAAGCTGAATGTCTACCGGGTTACTTTGGTGATCTCGGTAGATTATGATGGTAAGGTCCTCAATAGTGGTATCAGCACTGCCCACCAATGGATAGTGTTCATAATAAACGAAATTCTTCCAGTTGCTCATTAATCTTAAACCTGAAAAATCCCCGAGTACCGATGTGTTGCACCTCAGATTACTATCCTTGAAGGAGGATATTATTGTTCATTTTTCCAATATGTCCTTACCTCAAACTCGCCTCCCTAGAGACTGGAAAGATGTCAAAACCACCCGTTTTAAGGTCGGTATTCGCCCGTTGGTCGCTAACTATCGCCCTATGAGTCTAACCAGCAAAGTTATTAAGGTTCTAGAAAAAATAATTCGTGAGATACTGAATCATGTTGAACTAAATAGTCTTTTGGCACCACAGAAACATGATTTTCGTACTGGACACTCCTGTTCAGCAAACCTCATCACGAGAAAGAAATGGGTTGTAATCCGTGATCCTAAGCTGCTAACAGATGACGTATCATTAGTAAAGCATACGATTAAGTGTCTCATGTGAAAGTACTAGGAAAGCTTTACTCTTTCAGGTTCGGTACAACATCCCAAGCCTGGATTAGGGACTTTGCACGACAGAATGCAGAGTGAGGGTTAGTGGGATCCTGCTCGGGTGTAAACCCGTGATGAGTGGAGTTTCTCCGCGAAAAAACCTAGGCCCCCTACTTTTCTGGCTATATGTCAACGAATTACCGCAAATGCTCAACTCTTCGGTACTGCTATTCGTTGATGTAAGAGTTTGGAGTCATACGTAGTGGTGCTGATATGCATGCACTTCAAGGGGATTTAGATGAACTGGCAGGTTGGTCTAAACGACGGTACCTAGAAATCAACTCTAGTGAAAGTGCAATAATGCACACTGGTCATAGCAACTGTTTCCAGTATTCCGTTGATGGTACACCACTACTCCCAGTCTTTGAACTGCAAGACTTAAGTGTCATCAAAAGCCATGAGTTGAAAACCTCGGTGAATAGCAATGCAGCTGTAGCAAAGAGCTTCCATGTATTATGGTCCGTGCGCAGAGCTTTCAAAAGTTTTGATCAGGATATATTCAGAATACTCCACCCTACCTACGTAAGACCTCACTTGGAATACTGTATTCATGCGGCCAGTCGACTCTTAAAAAAGGATACTGGCATACTTGGAAATGACAGGCCTTTCCAGTCTGTCGTATGAGGAACGGCTAGATTAGCTAAACTTATTCCCACTATCTTACCGTAAGAAACGGGGTTTTCTCATACTGCCAAATCGTATCCTTAATGGTGGCTTCGGCACTGATATGTTCTATCTTTTTTCTCTTGCTAGGATTGATTACCTCCAACTCCATCACAAAGAAATCCAAAACCCACAAGTGAATCAGCTTAGTGAGAATCTGTGTTTCACCTGTCGAGTAGTCAACGAGTGGAACTCCTTACTTCAGCAAGTAGTACCACAACAGCCAGTTAACGTATTCAGGAAGAAGCCAGACTTTTATGCAAATATCCTTTTCAAGGATTAACACAGACCAACTGGCCTACTTTTCTTATTACTGAAAACTATATCCATCCTTGTTATTTGCAATACTGAGAAGATCCAAGCCCAATTGAACGACGTCATCAGAGGACACTGATACTACGTGCTCCAACAGACAGCCACGATGGTTTAAGTCTCAGTGCAAGATATTCCTAAACGCACCCAATTCAACTGTGGCTTTCGAATAATTTAGGCCTCTAATTCTGAAGTGTATCATGAAAACAACCCCTTTTTTTAAAACACTTGAAAACCGCTTACCAAGCAAAAATCTAAGATCCCGCCAGTGTCAACGAACTTTTCAATTTTCAACTTACAATATCCAATATCTTTTGACGAGCTAGTGCAAATCAGCTGATTTCTTCGCGCTCGCTTCTAGGTCTTGCCGGACGGTTCCAGGTCTTTAGTGGATTCCAATGCAGTAGGATCGCCCACTTGACTGCTGTAGCTCTGGTTAGCCCGACGGGCGGTTAGGTGTTGTTTAGATTTGTAGGGAGTGTTGTTTGTTTGCTTGCTTTTCTTTCGAGGACTGTGGTGCAGATGGGTTCCTCAAATGTCGTGCCAGCAGACAATTAGTCGGACTGGTTGTAAAAGGGAGATGAAAAATGTGTACAGAGAAATCAAGGAGAGAAAGTGCAGAGAGAGACGAAATAAAAAAAGAAAAGGAAGAGAGGAAGAAGGTATAGGGTTGGGCCAAGTTCTCAGTGATAGTGGTTTTACAAAGTGTTCAGTAACGGTTGGTCGCACCGAGTTGGTAAGTCGTGTCAGCCTAGTCTACATCCTAGTGGGATGAGCGCGAACCGTGAGTCGCTGCGTAACTGTCCAACCTCTTCCTGAAGCTGTCAACAGACGGAGCAGTAGCAATCTCGGCAGGCAATGCGTTCCGGTGGCCGCAGACTCGCAGAGAGAAGGAGTGCGATGGCATGTGGGTTTTTGCTCTTTGGTGAGCGATTCTTCCGGGGTTACCACGAGGACCGCCATAGTGGCGGTCAGGTAGGATTCCACTGTTCGGATGATTTGGGTTACTTAGTGCTTTGTAAGCCGTCATCAAGCCACCACGTAACCTAAGGTAGCTTAGGGAGTAGAGCCCTAGGTCTTTCAGCCTGTCCTGATATGGCTTCGCCTCATTCTCACGACACTCTCTGAG